ATAGGTTCCATACTTCCTCACTCTGCCCTATACCTATAGCCCTTTACCACCACCTCCTGGCAGACAGTCTCTCCTTTGCTGTCCTTCCTGCTCTTTTGCAGTGTATTCAATAAACTTTTATCTCTTTTGTTCTGCCTTGGGTGTATTCTTTCACCACCCATGCCTTGGCCCCCTATCCAATCAGACCATGCCACATCACCATTTATGTATATTATTAAAATTCAAAAAACAGTTTTGATACGCACATAATAAAAGTGTAAAAACATAAATGGGAATGATACACATCAATTTCAGGATAATGGTTATACCTGGAGATAGGAATAGCATCCTAGTTATGTTTGAATTTTTTTTTTTTTTAGAGAGAGAGAACATGCATGAGCGGGGGGGGGGGAGACACAGAGAGAGAGAGAGAGAGAATGAAACCCAAGCAGGCTCCACATTCAGCACAGAGCCCAATGCAGAGCTCGATACCATGACCCTGGGATCATGACCTGAGCAGAAATCAAGAGTCAGATGTTCAACTGACTGAGTCACCCTGGTGCCCCTGAAAAATCTTTTTAATAAAAAAAGAGAATAAAGCAAAATGCTAACTCTCAAATTTTGGTCAATACATGGGTATCTGAACATGTTTGTTTGTCATATTTAATAATTTTAAAATTTAAAAACATTAAGAGTCGATTAATTAAAATGATGAACAACTCCAGAGCTCATCTATGTCTGTGAAATTGAAACATCCTAAAATCCAACTGAGGACACATGTGAAAAACTTCAGAACCAATCCTTTGAGTTTCCCTTCTTTTTCAAAAGAAAAGTTGGATAAAATGAGTGGATCTAGATTCCTGGATCTATACAGGGAGAAACAAGGTATCAAAAGCATGGTTTTCAAGACACACAGACTGGTTCAAATCATAGCTGCCTTGGTTATTCAATACATGTTCTTGGGTAAACCACTTCCTCCCTCCAAGCTTGTTTCCTCTTTTATGAGATGGAGATAAGCTGGCCAGATGGCAGATAGCACAAGGCAGCCCCAGGTCAGGGATACCTGAGAGCCAAAGGGAAGCTGGCAGATCAGAGAAACCAGCCCTGTGGCCATCAGAAGAGGGCTGGGCTTGGGTGTAAACAATAGCAACCCATTACAGAAGAGGCCAGAGCTCTAAGAAGGGAATCAGGCCCTGTTGGGTTTCGGACAGGTGTACCCCTTCTTCTTCCCCCCGTTGCCCTGGGGAGACCTTGGCCAGCCCTATCACCATTACTGCAGGTTGAGAAGACACTGGCTGGGTGGCTGGGTAGGCACCTGCTCTACCTCAAGAACTAACTACAGTGTAGTGAACCAGCCTGCACCTTAGCAGCCTCTGTTCCACCACTCCTCTTCCCTCTCCCTGTACCCAAGCACTAAGTTAAAGCGATCAGAGGCAGCAACTTCTAGTAAGAGTCTTACCTGGGCCAAGAGAGTTATAGAGAGGTTCTCCAGGGATGCAATTGTCTGCTCAGGATTATACCAACTAGGGGTGTAGACTATACACCAGAGAGCCTCCTTCCCAACTCACCAGGAATACTTCAAGTTACACTTGGACTATGCCACCTCCCCTAGGCATTTTAGTCTCCAGGCCTCTCCTGGCCCCAAGGAAAGAGGAGCTCACAGGGACAGATAAGAGCGGTCTGAGGGGCACACACCCAACAAGAGAAAGACAACATACAGGACTATCTTATCCAGACACACCAGAGTTAATAGACTAGGCAGGGCAACAACTGAAAATAAGCATTTTAAGTATTATTAAAAAAAGAAAAGAGAGGACTTTGGAAATATGAAGGGGGAAACAAGAAATCATAAACAAGAACCAACTACAGAACCCGATGTGAAAAATGTAGATTAAATAAAGCCCTCAAAGGCTGTGGTGAATAGCAGAGTGGATATACCCAAGGACGAAATAAGCAAGTGTGAAGATCAGGTTCAGAAAATTGCCTTAAAAGCATAACAAAGGTATAACTGAAAGGCAGAAGGTTAAGCCAGTGTTGTCTGAAGCTGGTTACTTCTGAATGATATGGTGTATGATATAATGAGTGGACCCTTTGGTCAAGGGTCCTGCCTTTCACTGTATAGTGGGTCCCCTCATTGTATGCTATGTTGTTTGTGACTACTTCCTGTGGATTGGGCAGGCATACTGTGGTTCCCCAGATAGTGATGAAAAAAAAAAAAAAAAGGATGGAAGGAAAGAGGGAAGGAAGGAAGGAAGGAAGGAAGGAAGGAAGGAAGGAAGGAAGGAAGCTATAAAAGGGGTGAACACAAATATACCCTGGACTTTAGGAACAAAAGTGCACAAGAATGCAAATGGCACCAGGATTCCAGCTCTACTTTCTTTCTTTGTTTTTCCTGCTCTACCTCAATCTCTTTGACCTGAAGCCTTCTTCTATACAGGTGGGGAAAATGGCTGCCTATAGCTGATAAGTTTTACATCTTTATCCACCCAAGACAGATTGATCTCAACACTCTGCTAACCAAATTTAAGAATCTCACGAAAGGATCTTCTTCGTCCAGCTTGATCCAAGTCATTACCCTGGGACTAATTATTTGTGCCAAGAATCATATAAACATGGTAGGTTTCCAGTTAATTCAATCATTAGGGAAACAATTCTCAGGAGATGAAGACAGACAAATGTTTGCATAGCAGTACACTTTACACCAGAACAAAGCCTGATATATAGTAGGTGATCATTAAATGTCAGTTCCCTGCTGCCCTTCTTGCACCATCATCAGAGACGTGTAGTACTTATCCTGGTAGAGATGGGGAGCCACTAAGGAATTTTAAGCTAAAGATGACATTGTCAGCTTTTGTTTTGTTAAGACTACTGTGTAGCAATATGGAAGTTGGACTGTGTAAGGAAAGTTGGCAGTGTTTATCTTTAGAATTTAATCTTTAGGGGCGCCTGGGTGGCTGAGTCAGTTAAATGTCCAACTTCAGCTCAGGTCATGATCTCATGTTCTTGGGTTTGAGCCCCATGTTGGGCTCTGTGCTGACAGCTTAGAGCCTGGAGCCTGCTTCAGATTCTGTGTCTCCCTCTCTCTGCCCCTTGCCGCTCATGCTCTGTCTCCCTCTGTCTCAAAAATAAACATTAAAAAAAATTTTTTAAGAATTTAATCTTTAATTGTAGAATATCCAGATGGGGTTATGATTGAAGAGGAATTAACATCACTCAGAGATGGATATATTGACTATTGGGACTTTGTCTTCCCTTTTTTCAGAAGGTAAAGGGTGACTATTTTTATGATGGATATTAGATCATGTAAGTGGAAGCACAAAGTTTAAAATGGATATAAGAGTAAAACTGGATGCAAAGGGGCGGACTGTGCTGGTCATGTGCCTGTTTACTTATGGCTCCATCCTTCACCCTTCACCTGCCCTGCTGTGTATCTAACTCCTGACAATCCAATTTCTAAAATTTCCTTGCCAAATAGTCCAGTTAGTTTCAGCTAATGGCAGCCAATGCCAGGTAAAAGGAGATTGAAAAGGATTGGTCAGAGAGGAGGGAAAAGATCAAGAAAAAAATGTGTCATAGAAGCCAAGGGAGGAGCACATGCAATTCATTCAATTCTGCAAATATTTAAGTGTGACCTCTGGGCTTCAGTCAGACTGAGCACATCAGACCCCAAGATGACAAAGGCCTAGTCAACATCCTCAAGTGGAGTGACAGAAAAATTTTCAGACAGAAACTGTGACACAACAGGGTGACTGAACTGCAGCTGAGGAAAAAACAAAACAAAACAAAACAAAACAAAAAAAGAAACCTAAAAAAAAATTTTTTTCTGACTGCAAAGTTCTGGTTAAATTCACTGATAATAACTTTTCTCTTTGGGAACTTTGCACTCCTGTTTTACCAAGGAGGTGATCCCTCAAGCAGTGAGCTGGCACCCTGGCCAGGTTTTGAATGGCATCTCTGCTAAGACTCTATTTAACAGTGTTAAATGGTGCAAGGAGGTCGAGCAAAATAAGAGCTGAGATGTTACCAACACATTTAATAAAGAGGGATTTGTTAGAGACCCAGGTGAGAGAAGTTTCTCTGGGTGGGCGGGGCGTGGAATAGGAAACGCATATTATCCAGAAGTAGGGCTGTAATAGAAAGGAGAGGAGGTAGCCAGTGAGGGAGGACAGTTTCCCAAACAAGAGAGATCTGAGCATACCTGTGAATGACTACAAGAGTCCCGGGTCAACTAGATGGCTCGGGGTTGCTTACAATAAAGACACCTATTCACCGCGCAGCCCCTCATGGAGTTCTTCTTTGAAGTACCTCAGGATGTTTCCCCTGCTACACCTGGAAACCTTGGCAGTCACTGGAAGTCACAAAAGACTAGGTGATTAGGAGATCTAAACACTGCCTTCTGATCCTGCCTGCTTCATTAGCATGCCCAAGACCCCAAGAGAGCAGAACCCCTGGGGTCTGAGAAGCAGCCAACGGAAGTTGGCTGGGATCCAGGCTGCAGTCCCGCCTCTGACACTCCATAACCTGATACCCGTAGCCTTGTGACTTGTCTTGAGGTCACAAGGGATGCCCGAGGTCTTGAGGGATGCCCAGAAAACACCTTTTGGGTTTGAGTGCAGTCTCTACCAATGCACTACAATGCGACCTGGGGCCTCGGTTTTTCCTTCTAGGAAGCCCTGCTTTACAGAGTAACCGAGAACAGCGGTCAACTGACCACTAGGCATACAGTAAGTGCTCGGGAAATGCCAATATCACCGTCTCCCATTACGCCCAGGTACAGCCTCTCGCTCCACACCGCACCTTGCAGCGGGGGCGGGAGGTCCCCGCGCTCTGGTCGGCTAGCCCACTCCCGCTGCCCCCGCGCGGGCCGCCTGTCGCTGACAGCAGCGGTGCATTGTGGGCCTTGTAGTGCGGGGCTGGGGTTGGGTGGGTGGGCGCGGTCGCGGCAGTCGCAGCGGGGCCATCTTCCGCGGGCCGGCTGGTTCGGCCTGTGCAGCCCGCACCCGCGCCCTTCGCCCGGCCCGATGGCTCCGCGGCCGCTGAGCCCCTTGGTGCTGGCGCTGGGCGGCGCCGCGGCCGTGCTGGGCTCAGTACTCTTCATCCTCTGGAAGGCCTACTTCGGGCGCGGACGGGAGCGGCGCTGGGACCGGAACGAGGCCTGGTGGGGCGCGGAGCCTCCTCGCCTCCCTGAGTGGGACGAGTGGGACGTGAGTGCCGGGCCGGGGTCTGTATCTCCGCACGTGCAGCTGAGGGGTGTGACGCGGCCCCGCGAGGCCGGAAGCGCCTGGGTCCGGGACTTGGCGCCACAGCCCGCTAGCCCCTAGCGAAAGGGCGCGCGGTGGGCAGCCAGGCAGTCGTGAGTCCCGGAACCGAGAGATGGGTGGGCATTTCAGGGAGTGTTTGGCATCGCCCTGTGCTGCCGCGGGACCCGGGCTTCCTCGTGGGCGCCAGAGCTCCGTGGGCGCGGCCCCGGAGTGATGTCGGGCCCACGCCCTGTCCAGCCCGCGCTCGCCGGGCGCCTGCGCAGTACGCACAGCCCGCGGCCTGGGGCATGCTGGGAGAGGCCTCCGCCCCCTTCCCGGCCCCTGGCCGAATTGCGAGTTTTTCCCTGTCCGTGGTACCTACGATCCTGGGTCGCGGGTATTGCCAGTCTGAGGAGGCTGAGACTTCGCAAGAAGGAATTTCACCGAGGTCACTCAGGGAAAGCCAGGAGAATAGGGTTTGGGATTCAGGACTCCAAAGGCAGCGCTGGTCTCACTGCACCAGACCATGCCTGCCTGCCCGTTGACGGGTGGGGAGCGGGATGGACGCTTTGGTGTCTTCGGTCTTCTTTTAGGGAGGGTCCGGAGGGAGGGTGCCGGCCGCAACCTGACCTGTACTCCACAGCCTGAAGACGAGGAGGACGAAGAGCCGGCGCTGGAGGAGTTGGAGCAGCGTGAGGTGCTGGTGCTGGGGCTGGATGGCTCAGGGAAGAGCACGTTCCTGCGCGTGCTGTCTGGGAAGCCACCGCTGGAAGGCCACATCCCCACCTGGGGCTTCAATTCTGTCCGGCTGCCCACCAAGGACTTCGAGGTGGACCTGCTAGAGAGTGAGCAGACCCCCCCCCCCCATCTCCCCATCACCTCAGCTGGACCCAAGCGGGGGATCTTTGCCTGGTGGTGGCTCCAGCATGCATATCTAAGCAGGACACGTCCCTGTATGACATTCTTCCCCTGCCTCTCTGGGGCACAAATATAGTCCAAGCTCTGTCTTCTGAAGCGATGGGCCGTTCATGATCAGGCAACTCCACCTTGGTCACTGCCTGTCCCTCACCCCTACTGAAGCTCACATGCCTAACACTGAGATATCAAATGCTAAAGTTTCCTGTATGCCAAGCACTTGACAGGCATTATTATGTAATAAAATCCTCCCAACAATTCCAACAAACTGGAAACAGTCATTATCCTTGTTACATGCATGAGGAAAGGGAGGCCCAACAAGTTAATTTATCCTGGCTCACCCAGCTTGCCAGTCTGCTAATGCAGACTCTGACTCTAAGCTCTCGATGTTAAGTACCATGCTACATTGCTTGTTTCTGAAGGATGCTTGCTATTTTCTTCTGCCCTTTGCACTGTTCCCTCAGTCTGGAAAGCCCTTCTTCCCTTGAAAAACTGCTACACCTTCAAGATTTAGGTCAAATATGATATCCTGTGAAGCCATCTCTGACTCCCAGGCTAGGTTAAGGGCTCTTCCTCTGAGCTGGCTTTTGCCACATACCAGGCTGTGTCCATAACTAAGCATCTGGGACACAGATGGGTCTGATCCAGTCTGGCCCCTAGGGCCCAGCCTCAAGCAGATACCTGGGAGAGCTTGTTGAGTGAGTGATCAGAGGGGGTCTGGGCAACGCCTATCCTCAGTGTTAGGCTTCTTGGGATCCCAGGAGAGGGTTGGCTGAGGGGGTATTGAGAGGACAGCAGTACTTAGCCACGTGTGTCTAGCTACAGACTTGGAGGGGAGGGACAAATGGACTTCTTGCCAGCCACAGGACTCAGGCCATAAAGATTGGGTAGGCTTAGTTAAGCGTTATGTAGTGAGATCAGACTCTGAGGGCCTACCTGTTGGCCTGAATGGGCCCAGTTCTTCTGGTCTCAGGCACTTGCTTGCTGGCCTGTCCTGGCTATATCTTTCCTCCCTGATTGTGGCAAACATTGATATCCACCTGGAATTTGGTTCTTTAAACAAGATTTTCCCCATCCCTGGAAGAAGGGGTTTGGTGTTTTCATGTTACCCAAGGGTCTGACTGGTTACAATCCAGGTTTGATAGGTCACTCCTGGATTCAAATTCAGATCTCCCATTCAAGTCCTAGAGTTTTCCCTTCCCACAACACTCACATGGCTGTGGTCTCCAATGCCTGGCCTGGAGCCCAGCCAAGGATGGGCCCTTCGTGGATCTTTGATGACTCTTTCCGTCCCCCCCCCCACTTCGTATACCTCTTTTATTAGCTAGTTCTTTCAGCTTTATTTTCCAATAGATTCTGCATCTGTCCACTTTCCCCCACTTCCACCACTGCCTGTTTGATCCAAGCCACCATCATCCCAGTACTATAATAGCCCCTGTGCTGGTCTTTCTGCTTCCACTTCTGTCCCCAATGTCAGCCAGCAGTATCTTTCAGACACCCATGTCACGCTTGCTTAAAACCCTTAAGGGGATCCCGAGCAGCCTCACTGTAGCCTTACAGCCCCTGTGTGTTCAAGCCCTGGCCAACCTTAATGGTTGTGGCTTCTTCCTCCCTCCCTCAGCCATCCTGGCTGCCTTCTGTTTCTCAAACACAGTGTTCTTGCTCTTCCTTCTGCTTGTAATGCTTTTCTCTGCCTCTTCCCTTAGCTAGCTCCTTTTCATTAGTCCAGACTCAGCTCATATGCTGCTTCCTCGGGGAGACCTTCCCAGATGACCCAATCCAAAGCCACCCTCAGCCATTTTCACTTTTTCTATTTGATTTCCTTCCCTTCTGAAATGTGCTTATGTGTTACTGCTGTGTCCGTCTTGGTTACAGAGGGAGCTCCTTGAGAGCAGGGCCCTGTCTGCCTTGCTCACCTCTGTATCCCCAGCACCCAGATCAGTGCTTGGCACCTAGTAAGCACTCAGTAAATACTTGTTGAGTGCCTGCTATGTGCCAGGCATTGTGCTGAGGGCTTTGGGGGGGATCCAGATGTAAACAGCTCTAACTCTCAAAGAGCATAGAGTCCACAAGTATCAGAAATATATTCAGCAACACTAGGATGTGGTGTGACTAATGGGGACTGTGCAGAGGGACAGAGAGGAACAAGAAGGCAACCCAGGGTACTGTGTGGGCAGCCATGTGGTGGTAGGACTGAGTGTGGTGTTTGCAAGGAAAGAAAATGGGGTGACCAGACTGAACAAGAGACACTGAAGGGAAAATGGCTGCGCACAGGCTGGGCAGGGAGTCCTGGCTTCTGACCACACCATTACTGGCCAGGGAGGAAGCTAGGAATTGGCAGGAAGCAGCCCAGGAAAAAGAACTAGAGAGTACTATTTAATGAGCACCTTGTATGCCAGTCCTGTGAAAGGTGCATTGCGTGTGGTACCTTGGGTTTTGCCACAACCTATTAGTAGATAAGTTCAGTGAGGAGGAGAATGCTGCTGCTTGAAGGCAGTGACTTGCCCAGGGAGCCCTAGCTGTCAGAGCCAGAGCTAACCAGGTCTGATTGGCTCCAGAACAGGTTGTCTTTTCCTTGCCCCTGGCTGATGGAGCCTTGGGAAGCCAGAAGAGGGGTGGTCTTGAGGCTGTATGTACAGAGCTGGGGCCTGGGGAGGCTCTGAGCTGGCCCCTGGCCTCTCCTCAGTCGGTGGCAGTCAGAACCTACGCTTCTACTGGAAGGAGTTTGTGAATGAAGTAGACGTGCTGGTGTTCCTGGTGGACTCGGCTGACCGGCTGCGGCTGCCTTGGGCCCGGCAGGAACTGCACAAGCTGCTGGACAAGGACCCTGACCTGCCTGTCGTCGTGGTGGCCAACAAGCAGGTGAGAGCCATGGGAGGCTGGCTTAGGCCAGTTGGGCTTGATCCACTGATCCCTGGGCAGGGGCAGGGAGCACAGGAGAGAGATTCAGGCCCAAGTCCATGACCCGGAGCACTTGGCTGAGATTCTGTCATGTGCTTTTCATCCTGTGCTTTTTCCTCATCCCTGACCCTCGTCCTCTATCTGCCTTCCTCTTTGTCTCCCTGCCACCCACCATCCTGGAGAAATGAGAAAAATAATGATTAAGCATCCACTACATGTCAGTCAGGTATGGTTTTGAAGAGCATTTCATATTATGCTTCTAATTGACCCTACTACGTATGGGATACTATTCCCATTTTACAAATTGGGAATCTGAAGCTTGAGGTTTTGTAATCTCCCCAAGGCTGTACACCTTGAAAATAGTGGAACTGGGATGTCTAAATCCAAAACTTGTGCCTTTTCTGCATTGCCATATCCTTGTGACTTCCAGCTCTAGATCTGAGAGGTAAAGCTGGGAAGTAGTAAGTTGAGCCGATTGAAATGACAATATTATGAGTGCGCCTACAGTGTGCCAGGCTAACCACCTGACAATCATGACCTCACTTAAATCCTGCAAAACCCTATGATTGGCCTTGTTATTATCCCTCAATGCCCAGAGTTACAGCTGGTATATGGCAAAGGCAGGACTTGAACTCAGATCTTCCTCAAAGATCCTTCTTAACCACACTATACCTCTCCTGGGCCTTTGGCCAGACCTAAGCTGCCCTTCTCAGTACATACCAAGTTAAGCTTTGCCACGGTACAGAGTTCTGTCATTTTTCCTGTGGCCTGGCCCATGTCCCTGAGGACTGTGGCACATGTTCCCAACCTGTCTTGAAGAGAAGCTGTACGTCTTTGATCCCAGTTTCCCTTGCCTGTCAGGAAATACTTGACAATCATTTATAAATATGCCCATATGTCCTGGTTTTCCTGGGATGGTCCCCATTTATGCCTGTTGTTCTGGTATAATTATTAATAGTGCCCACTTTGAGTCTCAGAAGTACCCTGGTTTGGATGATGAATTATATCATCATTCTACTCATAATTTATGGCAATATAGAACCTACAGGAGACAACACCTAAGGTCCCATGAATTCTTCAAGAATTATTTTAATTTGGGGCCAGGGCTGAAATTAAAATGTACCCTCACCAGCCGTGCTCTGCAGTGGCTTCTTTTTTCCTCAGCCAGTGTCTAGGAGTCTGGGGCAGATAAGGCCCTTGTCTGGAAATGACCCTAGTGTAAGATCTCCCCACTACTGAGTTTAGGAAACTGAGCTAGGATTCCTGTAAGGGGTATAGCCTTGGTTATCAGCCCAACCTGGGTTTGAAACCTGGCTTTGTCACTGTGTCCTTAGCTAAATACCTTCACCTCCCTGGGTCCATTTCCTCAGCAGTTCAGTGCAGACTGAGAATCAAATAAGTCTAAGCGCCTCTTACAATGCCTGGCTTAAAGGAAATGCCATCTCTTACCACAGTGGCTGGTGATGGTATGAAAAGAGGTTGGTACCAAGGAAAGACGGAAAAGAGTTTAGACAAAGGGGCCCAGAGGCCACTTCTGGGAACTTAGGCCCCAGTGTTCCCCGGGTAGCCAAACAGTTCTTTCCATGGATGACAGCATGGGTGCTGGGAAACTGTCAGCTCTGTTCCAACTAGCTTCTCCATCTCCTCCCAGGACCTGAGTGAGGCCATGAGCATGGTGGAGCTGCAGCAGGAGCTGGGCCTGCAGGCTGTCGATAGCCAGCGGGAGGTGTTCCTCTTGGCAGCCAGCATCGCCCCTGCAGGACCTGGCTTTGAAGACCCCGGCACCGTGCATATCTGGAGACTGCTCTTGGAGCTTCTCTCCTAGGCTGGCCCCCACCTGCTCACGCACCCAACCCTGGAGACCCCCGTTCTGCCACTCCTGCTTCTCTATTGCCGGCCTGGGCCTGAGGCGGGAGCTGTGTGGCAACTCTTCCCTTCTCTCCTCCCACGCTCCAGAACAGGGCCTGAGCAAGGCCAAGAACCACACAGAGGCCTTCCTGGTGAGGTGGCCGTGAGGCTGAAGTGGGGAGGCAGGTGGGGCAGACAGTGGAAGAGCATAGTGTCTGGCTCACTCCAGGCTGGAAGTGGATCCAATTTTCACCAGTGAAGGCCTGCACCCTCCTTCTCTGATGTGTAAAGCAAGGTGCTCAGTGGGCTCAGTTCTCACCACTGCAGGTTGTGGTGACTGAGAACGAGTATAGTGTCAGAAGTACTCCCAGTCTGAACCATTCCCTCCTGCAGACTTCACGCCCCTCTCATGCAGGCAGGTTCTGGGCAGTACACAGTGAGCCGTGGCTCCAAGGCCTACAATGTCCTGCAGCCCCAGTTCTGCCCAGCTGGGTCATGGCCTTGTGCTATCTCTGCCTCTCTGGCCCTGGGGCCATCATTTTTAAAGAGAGGTGATTTCCATGCGTTTTTTTTTTTTTTTTTTTTTTTTCTGACTTGGAAATACATTTTCCAGCCACGAAGGTAAGAAGTGCTAGAACGAACCTGGAGATCCTAGCAAGCTTTCTGAAACCTCCTGCTTCTGCAAGCCAAGGCCTGCCTGCCAGACTACAGGATCAAGTGGTATTCACCCCCAATCAAAAAAACTAAAGGCTTTTTTTCCCCCTAATCTGGACACACAAGCTGCTGCTCTTGCACTAACTGTGCCAATGCCCATGTTTACAGATGTCTGGGGGAGGAACCCATGTCCCTGGGGAGACAACTGTCAACTGGAGCTGGGTGTTGGCCTCAGAACTGCGTTTTAATTATTTATTTATAAAAGGAACAGGCCAAAGTTTTAGGTTCTGTTTCTAGGTGCTGTTATCAGAACCCCAGATGACTGTCATGGAAAACTTGTGTCTTTGAGGAAAATAGCTGGAATTGTGAGGCAATGTGATAACCTCCACATGTCAGTGGAGACAAAGCTCTAGCTTCCCCCTATCATTTACAGCTGTATGCAGTATCATACTTCACATTAATCCACATGAACTTAAACTCCACCACCTGGCCTGATAAGTCAAAAGGACACACTTCGTTCTGTGTAGATGGTGACTCTAGGAAATTTGAATCATGTAAATCCAGGCAAAAAGAAATGGGAATTAGCAGATCAGCCAATAAGGGGACTTTGGGTACCTCACTCAGCCTTTCTGGACCTGCTGATTCCTCAGCTAAAGCAAAGTTGGACAGAATTTCTGGGTTTTCTCCAGTGCACACTCCAGGATTCTCCTGTTTCTGGTGACCAGCCAGTTTGTCTGTATATTGACACTTCTCTTTAGTGCAGGCAAAAGAAGGAGCCTTTTGTCTGTCAGGGGCCACTGAGTAATCAGTAGCCACAAATGGACTTTTTTTTAGAGGTCATATCCAACTCCGTTTGCTATTTAATTGAGAATACAGATTATGTGCCTTCATTTCATTTGACATTTACTCAGTGTGCTTCAGTTCCATGCTGTGGCCTATGTGAGAAAAGGCACAGGGAGGGAGGGTGGGGAGGGAACCCCCCAAATCCAGAAGTGTGATTATTGGAACAGTGGCCTACCATGCTCTTGGGCTGTAGGTTTATCAACAGAATCACTGTTATTTGAAATCCTGATTAATGTTTGCAGAAGAAAGAGATTTGTTTGCTTTTACTTAAAATATTTAAGGAATGACTTGGCTTTTAAAGAGTAGCCTTTGAAACTTTGTCGACAAATTTTCATTTTGACATTGAAAGATTATAAAACTACTTTTCTGTTCTTTGAACTCCTGGTTCTCCAGTGCTTGACATTTACCTTTGGAACCAGCAGTGTTGTAGGGGATCCTTTTCTAATTAAGATCTGCCTTTGGTCTAATGAGTATCATTATGTAATGCAATTTTCAAAGTCTCCAGTGAGGGCAGTGAACTTGAATAAAGAGTTTAACTAACTATATCTACTTGAGCAACTTTTGAAGACCACTCCCAGAACTGACAGGTCCCAGTGGTACACCAGAAGAGACACCACCGGGGGACGCTGAAGGTCCAGAGTACCACCCCTCTGATACTTGTGCAGAATATAGATGTTCTCTTGGCCTGTGAGTGTGCCTCATCACATTTGTGGCTGACAGCTGTGCTCTGGTAGGGTTGTTGGCCTATCCTCCAGGCAGAGCACCAACAGTGCTTATCTGCTCTGGTTTCTGCCAGGATTAGACCAGATGAAGTAGAGGAGTGGGGCTCTCTTACGAACAGCTACGTGCCTGGCCTATGGTGCTCTTACCCAGTTGCTCCCGAATGTGACTTTCTGATTCACAAGCCCAGATCACCTGCTCCTGGGACCCAGCCATTATCTGGAGTTCATCCCAAAGTTTTCTGAGCTAGCCTGGGTGACACTGCCTCCACCCCACTGCCCCAACACTACAGCTCCCAACCTACCTGAGCGTGGGTTAGGGGTCAAATGTCAGCAGCTCTCCTAACAAAGGCAGCTGGAAGGTAGGAAGGCTCTGGGTCTGAGAGAACAGATGGGCACTCCACATAAAAGGGAAGCCTCTGCTTCTGCTTGCCTGTTGAACCTATGCCTCATCATTCACCCTGGCCCTAAGGGCTTCTGTTCTTAAGAATTACTTAATGCAATGTGGCTTCTGGTTTTCCATTCTCTGACCTGCTGCCAACCCTCAGGAGAGGCCAACTTGGCTGAAAGCTTGGTCATGTGGATGGTCTGAGCAAAATTAGGTTCCTGAGACTACTGAGACCACCACCTTGGACTGGCTGCCTATCCCAAGAAGCCTCCTCTGGTACCTCTTGGTGCCCAGATGTGGGTTGCAAGCTTGCGCTGACACACTGGCATCCAGCTGTAAGGACGGGGTGGGATGGTGAAATCAGTCCATCACAGCCCTCCCAGTCCTGCAGAGAGGTGCTGATGAGAATCTGAGGACTCTTCCCTGTCTGCCTGAATGAAACACTAGATTCTCCAAAAAATGTTTCCACCTGACTTTAGAAAACATTTGTTCTTATGCTAGTTTAGTAGCAATTGCCAGCACTTTGAACTAGCTGCTGAAACTCACCTGTGGTATTCATCCTCGAGCACCTGCCCACACCTCAGACCTGGGAATAGTCTTAGTCTGCCTGTCTTGTTTGTTGGCTCACACATCCCCGAAGTCCTTTCTAGTAAAGAACCTCCACCTTTTCCTCATCTGCTGCCTCTGCGAGGTGGGCCCAAGAGGTACATGGGGAGAATTCCCATCAAAGATCTGGAAGTAAAGAGGCCTTGCTGTCCCAGCCCAAGCCCTATGAACCCAGACCTGCAGGGTTGCCAAGGACAATCTGCATTAAAGAGCACCGGCAGCAGTTTGAGCCACACAATAAATGCCAAAAACTCAGTTGTGGTTTCATTTGAATTCTGATTTTGAGGAGTACATGCTGGGTGCTTATAGCTCCAATGAGGGGCAGCTATGGAGGGTGGTCCCAGAATACTACCTGTGACACAATCAATGGTCAACAGCAAGTCCTAGTCCTCTGACCCTTCAACCCACAGCTCAGTATCTTTTGGGAGATATCCAAGCCTGGTTGACATTCCTTGGGAGTTCTAGCTGATGGGCTGGAGCCGGGGTGTGGAAACAGGAGCAAAGGATATCTAACTGCCTCCATTCCAGAGATCAGAATGGAGCATTCCCCTAGCACCTGCCTTGGGCTGGGCTCTGGATTCCCAGGTAAGGTGTCCACACTCCAGCCCAGTCTGGAGGCAGAAGTCAAGCAGATTAAAAGGCATTTATGACTGATCTTTATTGCCACAGGAAGTCTGGGGCGTAGGGACAATAGGACACTTACACAGCCTGGGGGTGGGGCACAGTGGTAGGAAAGGCTTCCTAAAATTGGCACCTGCATTGGGTAAAGAAACAAGGGGACAGCCATCAAAGGTCTGAATATGGAATGCTGTGGAGGGCATTATGAAGCCAAACAACAAAAGTCCTCATGAGCTCTGCTGCAGACTAGATTCCAAAGGCTGTGTGAACACTGCTTACAATGGCCAGTCACTGCTGGGGTCTAAACTGGCTGGGTCCTCTAGGAGGGGTTTCTGGGAACCTCTTCAGTTTCCAGGCTGCCTTCAAATGGAAGGACAGCAAGTGAAAGCCCAGGCTTAGCTGTCGGACAGAATTGACTTCAAACTTCACACTGACCACTCAAGCCTGTTTCCTTACCTGTAAAAGGATAAAGCCACACACCTTACAGGGTTTTACATGAAGTGATTTATATAAAAATACCAAGTCCTTTTTAAGAGCAGTAAGAACCAGATTTTAGGGGCACTTCTAGGAGAAACATTAGGAATAAGAGGGTTTTAAAATTATAATAGCTGAAGACAGGGGCACCTGGGTGGCTCAGTTCGTTGAGCATCTGACTTCAGCTCAGGTCATGATCTTGTAGTTCGTGAGTTCGAGCCTCACATCAGGCTTGCTGCTTTCAGCGCATAGCCCGCTTCAGATCTTCTGTCCCCTGTTGAAGAACAAGAAGCCCAAGACACCATGAGAACGTCCTGAAGGAAAGGGACGGAGCAGCAAGGAACTGAAAGCCGCTGGGACTGCACGTTCTCTCCAGAAGGACATCATACCGGCACCAGGCCAGGGAGAAGAATGTTTTATCTGGCACCAGATGTACTCATGACCCAGTATGGAATACACTGCAGGTGCACGGCCTGTCGAGATGCCAAATACTATGTTGTACGTGCTTGCTGTCCTCAGACAAATTGCAAAAATAAGAGGCTTGAGCCAGGGGACTGGTGCTTCGGGTTCCTGGAGAGTCTTAGGCCCCTGCTTTCGTAATTCTCTCGTCACTGCACCTTTAGGCCCCGTGTCTCTACAGCTGGCGCCCAAACAGGGACCTGAGGGAGGAAGTGT